AAAATAAAACTAAATTAAAAACTAAAAAACTTAAACTTAACACAAAAAAAATCTCAACCAAAAAAACTCAAAAAAAAATATGTTTATATCTAAAATGAAGAGTCAAACCCTTGTTATACGCCCTTAACCCTGCATACAACTGTTATGGGTGATCATATACTATCTAAAGATAAGAAAATGTTTTTTTTTTTAACTTCATTTTACTATTAGGCTGAATTTGTTTCTTAGATTTTTTCAGGATCATATATTCATATAATGTTCTATAACAGCAAGTACAAAAAAACCTCTTTTGGCCAGGTTTACTGTGAAGAGCCGATTTTTGATTATTTTTACTAATTTAATTCTTTTCCTATTTGTATTAGATGAGCTTTTTTGGATCTTGATTCCTATGATGTATTCGTTTAGTAACAGTTTTTTTCGATTTATGTCTATTTTCAGCAGACCTTTGTATTACTTAATCAGAGGTAGCATTGAAATCACAAGTTTGTTCAGAGATCTACTAGGGTCAAATTGTCCAACAAATTTATTACTTTCAAGACCTTTCGCATTTCCTTTCAAGGCTTTGTCTTTTTCAGCATCGATCTCCATAAGCGTTCTTTTAGCAAGTTCATTTTTGGTAGGTCTTTTTATTTCACCTGTGGTCATTCAGAACTCAACAACTTTCCTCAACCATATTTCATATTCACGATGCAAGGCTTCTTTTTTTAGAAGTCTTTTGAATAGAAAACTATTCACTTTCTTATTACTACTGTCATTATCAACCAACATTTTGCGATCACTTTCGTCATCAGTTTTATCATTGTTGACATCTTCAAGCTTTATGGGTAACATTCGTATTTCTTCTTCCTTCTTCTAGTTCCATTCATTTGGTTTCGACTTACTAATAGTATTTACTTCAAACTTTCAATTTTTTTCTCATAGCCAGGTTCAATCAGACGTGTTCCATTAGCATCACCTATATCTGTGGACTTTTGATAATAAACAAATGCATCATGTTCATTCTTTTTGATACCAATTCTATATTGGTAGCAGGATCCAACATAGTTTTATTAATGGAACTATCCTTAGCATTAGTGTGATGCACTACAGGACTTTCGAGATCGTGCTAAACATTTTTATATAGCTCCAATTCATCGTCAAGTCGATCGTCAAGGATATTCAGTTTTATATCTGTTGGTTCTTGATT